CCCCTGGAGCAGATGGGGACACTGTGCTCCAAAGGGGCAAGGTCCCACGTGGACTACATTCGAAAGGACAGGAGCCTTGGCAGCCCTTCTGAGGGCACAGCTTCTGCACATGCAAGCCACCTCAAAGGAAAAGATGCCAGACAGGGAGGAGGATGACGGGGGGGCTTCCCAGCATCCGAGGAGGAAACAGCAGATGGATGGAGGCCAGGTAGCCCCAAAGTGAGGGCTGCAGCCCAAACCCACCAGGCTGGAAAGCCCAATGGGAAAAGTGAATCAAATGCTGTTGGCAAGCCCCCCACATCCGTGTGCCCATACGAGAGTGCACACGCACACACACCTGCACACTCGGCCTCTGTGGGCTCGGTGCACAAGTGAGTCACCCAGCAGTTCTTCCCAGGGCGGACAGCCAGAGAAGGTACAACATCCACATATAATTAGCCATCAACGGCCGGAGCTTAGAGACCCCAACGGGGGGCCCTAGAGGAGACAGGGACCTGGACCAGGAACCGGAAGGCTCAAATGATGGAGTGGACAGGAGAGTCCAGCCTCCACCCTTCCACCTTTCCCAAATCAGTGCCCACTAGGTGTGGCCCCACTCTCACAATCTTGTAGGTATCTGCACCCCCCACCACACCCAACACAGTCGCAGCCTATGGCAGGTCACTGTGCCTCCAGGAGAAGCAGCTCATACCATCCTGCCCCCAGGCCCACCAATCATATGCGAGGTAACCTCGTGCACTCATCTTGGGCCCAGAACACTCAGACCACCCTCCCACCCAAAGGGGAGCTGGCTGCAGACCTTACACAAACTCTGGAGCTGGGATCAGCCTGTCACCCACCTGCCTGCAGGTGGGTCCTGCTGCCGTGGTGAAGAACCAAAACTACCTGTTCACCACTGATGCCCAGCAAGAACCTCACATCCCACCCGGCAGAAGGTTCTGGAATGCATGCAAGATGGAGGCATCATCTGATACCTAACTAAAAGCTCAGGGTAAAGATGCTGTAAGAGTGGAGAAGTACCGAGCGCTGACAAAGGAGGCGCGCCCGAGAAGGTCTCAACAAAGGTCATCCCGCAGGCACTTTCACCACGAAGCACTTTCCCACAACTCATTATGAAACGCACTCGCAGATGACAGAATGGGGGCAGCAGAACAGGTATGATGAAGTTCGCCTCACAGATGAGGGCGACAAGACCAAAAGTGAAGTGAGTCACCCAGATTACACAGCGTGTCACTAGAAACCCGGTCCTCGGCTCCACTTAATCCAAAGCTCTTTCTGGCCTGCTGGGTTATTAGCTGGAAACCTGGAATGAAATTCAAATACAACATGTGGTGAAGAGATGGAGACGAGGCCAATGCAGACACTCAGACAAGGCTGATCAGCAAGCGTACCTGCTGAGCAGGATGTCCAGGGACTTGGCACAGCTGTCCAGCTACCTGTGGCCTGGGGACAAGAGGTCATCGAATGCCTCTCCCAGTACATGACTCCTAGCCCCACAGTCAGGGAGGTCTAAGGAAGTCCCCTTACCTGGGCCTTCTTCCAACTCTCCAGGGATGGGCTCAGGGGCCAGAGGAACCAGCAAGACCAGCTCCATGGCCACTTGGCCACTCCACTGTAGAGACCACATCCTGTGAGCATCACAGGTAAGACCCTTCCCCAGAGCCTGCAACTCTTGCTGCGGTAGTTCTGACACACGTCACCAGCAACCCAGCCCTGCGGCAGATCCGGCCCACGGAGGGGCTTAAGAGAAAAGCTACCTGTTATGCTCAGGCATAGAGATTTTCACTGTGGCCACCAGCTGCCAGGAATGGTACACACAAAGCGCAGACCTAGGACCCAAAGCAGCAAGTCATGGGTGGCACCAGGCCCATGGGCCCGGGGCCATGAGCTGGCACAGAGATAGGAAAGAGGACCCTGGCGTCCCAGATGAAGCAGCAGTGCCCAGCACCGCTGCTGTCTCGTTTCCCTCCCTATCGCAGCAGCAGAGTCCTGCTCTCAGAACACTTTGAAGGGTCACATGGATCCCTCACTCACTGGAAAAACCTGGATACCACCGAGCCCTCATGCCCAAGGGAATTCAGGCATCAAAAATTCCACTGCCATACTAGAAACTCCTGCAAAAGCACAGTGTTGTCACTAATTCTTTCCAGGCCCTTCTCCTTCCTTACCCCTCTCCCCTCCAAAGCGGTTAATGAGGTTTTATTGGAACCCATCACGAGCCACAGGTAGAGACTTAGGCCGACTCCACCCTGCCCGCGGAGCCGAGGCCAGCGGTGACATCAGAGCCGGGCAGCGGCAGCCAGGGCCTCCCCCACCCACTCGGCCAGGCCGTGGGGAAATGTCTCTACTAGCCCCCGTAATTAAGGCAAGGGAGACTTTATGCCTTTCAAGGAGGAGAGAGAAAGAGAAAAACAGCAAGTAACCACTCCAAAACAAGCCAACTTTGCTGAAACAAAAGCCCACGGAAGCACACACGCGCACACACAGAGAAAGCTTTTGAGACAAACCAGTTCCAGTCTCCAGGGAGGGCAGTAGCTCCAGCAGTCTGCCTTGCCCATTCATAGCCAGGCGCCCAGGGAGTCCCTCCCAGCCTCGCTGTCCCCCAGGGGGGAGCTCTGACCCGCTTCCCACCGGAGACCAGGAAAACGCCAGACCTCTGCAACTTGTGTGTGGCTCCTCCCAACCAGGCCAGGAGGAGAGACCCCGGGAAGTATGCTGTGCCAAGTGATGCCCCTTTTTAATCAGAAACCTACACATTGGGAAAAAGAAACCTTACAAAGTAAGAAAAAGCACTAAGTTGCAAACCAGAGGATGCCCTCAAAGTTCCCTTAGTTCTTTGGGGGTTCAACTGAGCTTCCTCCTCCAGGAGCCACCACTGCCCTCTCCCTTGGCTCCAACACACACACAGCAACTCTAAGGAGCTTCCCTCCCACCCCCAACTTCTCGCTCTCTGCTCTCTCTGGCTCCCAGACTTGCTACAGTGGAAGTTTCTGAGACTGCCCCCAGCTAGACCACAGCCCCTACCCAAGCACACAGGAAACTTGTCCAGGGAGGACCCAAAACCTCACCTGGCTCCCCGGTGTTAATGGGGGCGCAGGGATGGCAGTGCACAGGAGGGTCTGCCTCAGCCAAGACAGGTGACAGGAGGAACAGCCACCCCTCTGATGCTGCCGGGTACCCGGCGCAGCAAACCACTTCGGCGGCCCCTCCCGAGGCCCCTTCCTGGCCTGGAGGGAGAGAGCAGGAGGTAATGCCAGGCGGCTCAGGGAGGTGCGCCAACTGACTCCACTCTAACTAGGATTCCAGGCGCAAGCGGAGCCCCAGTGAAAGCACAGCAACTTTTAGGACTGAGAGCCAGCTCAGAAGCCACAGCCCTCTGTGACGGCCAACTCCACCCACCCTGAGGATCGCTACCGGACCCCAAGTTGCTGGGCAGTACAATTCCCCCCGGGGAAGCAGTAAGGACCCTTCACTCAGCACCTGCCCTGCCTCACCAAAACTGCACACACACCCCCCCCCCTCGCAACTGGCGGCTTCTACCCCAGGGGCACAGCGCCGCCCGGATGCCACAGCCCACGCGCAGGAGGCAGTGGCCCACGCTCCTCCCCGGCCCACGTGCGTCTCTGCGCCCGAGCTAGGGAAGTGGAGAGGTCTCGAGGTGCTGGAAGAGACGGCCACTTCCGGAAGGGGAAGCGCCCTGCTCCACGGCGCCCTCGACATCCCGGGATGGGGCCTGCGCCCTCCCTTCCCGAGGACCCCGGGTTCCGCACCCGGAGGGGAGGCTGGCACCCGGCGGCCGGCGCTGACACCAGGCGGCGGCCCAGGTCCCAGCCCCCGGCAGGGGCTGGCGCTGCGGGGCGGTTCCCAGGGAAGGGTTACAGGGGCCGAGAACAAAGCGCCCCCAATGGGGAAGGCGGGCTAGCGGCCGCCAGCCCGGGCGGGAGAGCCACTTTCAGGGGAATCCTCGGGCTGTTCTTTGTCGGCCACGTCCCTCTCCAGAGGGGCCTGCCCCCCCCACCAAGGGTGGCCGCTAACTCTTCCCCAGAGGCCTCCACCCCACCCCACCCCCGTCCCAACTGCGAGCCCCCACGTTTGTCCCTCTTTCGCCGCAGCTCTGCTGGGCGGGCGGAGGGACCCGCCTTCCAGCGCGCCGCTCGAGCACAAAGCCGAGCCGGGGGAGGGGGCGCGCTGCGGGTCCACTCGCGGGGAAGGCGCCGGGAGAGCGCCCCTCCGAGGTTCGCACAACTTGGGCAGCCCACAAGTTGGGCTCTCCGCGACTCCAGCGTTCCCAAGCCAACTTCCCGGAACCTCCGGCCGCCAGCTCGGCGCGGCTCACCTCGGGCAGCCAACGCCAAGCCCGAGTGGCCCGCGGCCGCCGCTGCAGCCTGCTCCCAGGCTGCCTGGGCCAACGCGCCCGTTGCCCGCGCCCGCTCCGCTGTGCCCAAGCCTGCCTCGGCGCGAGGGGCTGGACGCCCGGGCTGCGTGGCGCTGGGGATGCAAGCCCGCGGGTCTGCTTTGAATTAGGGTCTGCAGGAGGGGCGCTGGGACCGTGGTCACCTCGCCCCCCCCCACACACACACACACCCCGACTCGCTGGCGGAGGCCCGGCCGCCGTGGTGCCCGGGGCCGGGCTGGGGTAGGGGCTGGACGAGAGAGCTGCGACCCGGGCGCAGCTGCGGGCCGGCGGGCTCCCACACATGTGGAGACGTTTTACATAATTGAGCGCTGGGCCCCGACGCAGGCTCCACTCCGCGGGGCATCCCAGCCGTCCCCCACACATACACCTCCCCAAACCTCCGTGGCGCCCACCGTCGGCGGACGGACTTGGGGCGGGGGGTCTTGGTTTCAGGGCTCACGGTCCCGGGGCCCGCCGGGCCAGCGCGGGAAGAAGGGAAGTTCCCCGCTCCCCTCCCCCTCCACGTGCCGCCGCCGCTGGCATCGGCGGGTGGCGATCCCGGCTTCTTCCCGCCGCCTCCCCGCCCGGCCCCGGCTGCACTCACCGGGAGGGCCGGCTGCAGGCGCAGCGCCAGCGCGCAGAGCCAGAGCCAAAGCGCCGCGCGCCTCATTCTGCCCGGGCTGGCGGCTGGAGCACGGGGCCGGGCTGCGGGCTGTGCGGGGCTCCGGGCCGGCTCCGCCGGGGGCGCCGCGCGCGCGTTGCTGTCCGAGGCGAGGGCTGCGGGGCCGCTCGGGAAGTCGTCTCTCTCCTGCCGGATGCCTGCACGAGCAGCTCGGCCCTCACCTCTCCCGCCGAGCTCCGCCTTATAATAAACCTGCAAAGCCCTTAGCCGTTGCAAAGACTAGCCCCCCACCCCCAGCTCCGCCAGGTCTCCAGTGAACCCCAGTCCCAACCCCCGGGACCCCGCCCCCTCGCCGCCCCGCCCCAGGCCGGCCCCGCCCCCGGCCCGAGCCCGCCCCGCCTCGGCCCTGGCGCGGGTGGGTCCCGGGCGGTGGGCTTCCACACGCCGCGGCTCCTGGCGCCTGGTGCCCGCTGCTCCCAGGGTGGCGGGGGGCCGGGGGGCCGGGGCGTCCCCATCCCCACCCCGAGAGCGGGGCCTGGGGTCGCTCGCCCGGAAGGGGCAGCGAGGCGGTCGCCGGTTCCCCGCGCACGCGAGGCTGCAGCGCCCTCTGGGCGTGGACGTGGGGCGCCTCCAGGTGCGCGGACCGCCCAGGTGGCGACGGCGGGGGCTGCGGGAGCGCGTTCCGGGGCGGTGCGGGGCGCCGAGGCCGGGCAGCCGCGAGTGGGCACGGACGCCTCCCCGACTCGGACCGGGTTCTCTCCGCGCTCCACCAAGTCCTGCGGGCCAACAGCTGAACGTACTCAGCCGGAGCTGTTCTTTTAAAGGGAGTTTTCGAAGTCCTTCTGTAGGAGGCAATGTGCTCTCTCTAAAAGGAAAACTGAATCACTGGTTTGAGCCCGGGAGACCCCGGGAAAGCAGCAGCTGAGCGCCCGCTCCTGGCGATTGCCCGCGGTGCCCTGGCGAGCTCCTGGGTAGGGCGAACAGAGCGGAAGGGATCTCCCGGGAGGCGCCCAGTGACCACGGTCCTGAACCTAGGGAGGCCGCAGAGGGCGCCTTCGGCCCCGCAGCTCCCCCGCACCCAAGGCAACGTTGGCTTCTCGGGAAGTCTCCTTAGACCTTCCTAGCCCCGGGTCATCGGCAGGGGAGTGACCCTGGGTCTCCTGCACGCCGTCTCGACCCTGCTTCTGTCCTGCTCGCCAATACCTACCTGTCTGACATCAAGTGGATGGCAGAGGCGGTAACGCGGTGCTTGGGAATGAGCTGGTGCTTGGGAACGCAGCTGGTGGTGGCTTGGTCCGTGATGGGAGCCCAGGGTGTCCTGGTGGTCTACAAGCCTGGCGCGGGAGGGGAAGGAGCGGGCCTCCTGGAGGCTGCCTACTGGTTGAGGTGTGCTCTGCTGGTCAGTGCAGGGGATAACAGGTCGCCTGGGGCTCTTTCTCTACCGCTCAGCACGCTGTCTTTCATATGTAAACGCCACCAGTGTGGTGTTTCTTTGGAGTTGAATTAGTGTACCTCAGCTTGATGGGTCCTTCTGGGGACAGACTGGGAGGGCAAGTCCACTGGACCGAGTGGGGATTGCCTTGGGCCCAGCCGGCCCCCGCCCAGCCTTCTTTCCCTCCCTGCCCACCTTCGGTCTGGTAGGGACCCAGAGCACCGAGTGGCTGGTGTTCTACAGTTTCTTCCTGGGGGAACCCTCGCTCCCCATCCCTCGCAGCTCCTGACATCTGAAGGGTGAACTCCCAGCTCCAAATCCCAGAAGTTTCCCCCCCACACACACACACGCCTGCATCCCCCTTTCATAGTGCGTGGTGAGCCTTTTTCCACAGCATCCCTGCCGAAGCCCTACCACCTGGCAGGTTGATCCTTGCTCCCCACTTCAGTTCTGCCCTCCTCTGCTCACCCAGGGCTCCACTGCAGGAGCTGTGGGCACTCTTGTAGGGGGTGGCGCTGGTGCAAGCGGGAGAGCCAGACACCAGCACCTTGCTTCAGGGTTGTCCGGACCACGAGACGGGCACCTGCTGGGGTCACAACTTCCCAGGTACCAGTCCTTTCTAGAGAATGCCTTTACTCTCCAGAAGTGTCCAGAGTGGCTGGTCCCTGTGGGCACCGTGAGGGGGAATCAGTCAGTGTTCCAGCCTGTGGAAGACACTGGCATTTTTTTTTTTTAGTAGAAAAAGAAAATGATGAGACTGACATGAAAAGCTTTGCAGAATCTGTTTTTTAATGAAAAGAACAGGTGAAGAATGGGACTCGCGGTGCGGTGGGTTAAGCCACTGCTAGTTCCGGCTACGTCACTTCCAGCCCATCTTCCTGCTGATGCGTGCTGGGATGTAGCAGCCAATGGTTGGTCCATGGGCCCCTGTTACCCACGTGGGAGGCCCAGATGCAGTTCAAGGTGGCCAGCTTCAGCCTGGAGCAGCCTGGGCTGGTGCAGCCCTCTGTGGACTGACCCAGCGAATGGAAGACACCTGTATCCCCTTCTCTCTTTCAAGTAGATGAAATTAAATAAATAAATTGTATTGAAATGGCCCAAATGTGCTTAAAAGAAGTGACTAACATTTAAATCCCACATGGGTATGTAGAACAGGTTTAGAGAAGAAAGCTGGGATGTCAGCCCTGTGGGACTTCCTTGTTTGTTTGTTCTGTATCCTTCAGGTGGTTGTGTGTTTTCTTTTTGTTTTGTTTTGTTTTGTTTTTTGAAGTTCCGCAATGGCTGGAACTGAGCCAATCCAAAGCAGAGAGCTTCCTCTGAGTCTCCCAAGTGGGTGCAGGGTCCATCCTCTACTGCTTTGCCAGGCCACAAGCAGGGAGCTGGATGAGAAATGGGGATCAGCCAGGACACAAACCAGCGCCAATATGGGATCCTGGCGGATGTAAGGCAAAGATTTGAGCACACATATTCCTTGGTTAATATTTTTGAATTTAAAAATTTTGATTAAATCAACTACGAGGCTTTGAAGCTCAGCCTGCCCTGCCCTCATGCAGCTTGTGTAAGAAGCTACTCAGACTAACTCCCCAGCCCTCTGCTTACTCAGCACTACCTTAAATCCCCTATGTGTCGGTCCCCTTGAATACCTGTTTACCCAGCACTACAGCTCACTTCCTAAGTAAGCTCAGTGATCTTCCCGCTCCCCCAGAGGCATTTATACCTGGTGTCCCTGACAGCTGCATCTGCCAGTCACTGAGCCCGCACTCCCCATCCCCACCTCAACACTATCAAGGAGCCGGCCCTTTGTTCTGCTCTTCTGTCTTCTGTCTCTCTCTGCTCTTTCTCCCTGCCCCATGGCTGACAAGAAGACCTCTCACGTGGCTCACTCATGGAGCCTGGCTCTTAAGTTTTGTAGCAAATTAGCTAACAGCGTGACTAACAGAAGCTGTGTTGCTTGTCCCTGTCCCTGCATGGCCCACTGTGCCATCCCAGACTCAGCCAGCCCTGTCTTCCCAGTGTGGGGGTCAGCATCTCTTCCTGGCCTCATCCTTGGCTTGCCGGGTGCAGGCGTTCCTTCCAGACCTTGTGTCCATCTCCCAGGAGGCCGTCTTCTAAGACGAGGCCTGCACTGAGAGCAAGGTCAAACCGTAGTGCCCTCTGCCCGCACTTCTTTCCTGGTAACACTGTCCCAAGGAGGGTCCCACACTCTCTACCTGTCGCTGGTGAGGGGACCTTGGTGACCAATGGGGCCTCCATCATTCTTCCAGGGGTTTGGGCCTAGGGGAGTCTATTACCACTTCCACTCAACAGTTAACTTCTTTAAGAGTATCAGATGCTTGTAAGCATATCCTTGCTTCAAGATAACACACAACAACTTTTTCATACCAGTCCTTCCAAATGTGAAGCATTAAAAAAGAAAAGTTAGTTGTTCTGTTGTGAACCATTTCAAGCCCATAAAGATTAATGTAGTGCACACCTAGGCAGGGGCCTCGTGGCTCCGGGAGCTGAGCTGCTTGGGATGCCTACACCCCATGTCAGAGGACTTGGCAGGCAGTAACTGCTATTTTGCTCCTGATCCAGTTCACTAACACACATTACAAGTGGCAGATGATGGTTTTTGAGTATTTGAATTCTTCCCACCCACATGAGAGCCCAGAGTGGAGTTCCTGGCTCCGGCTTTGGCCTGACCCTCCCCACCTCATCCCCAATTGTAGTGCGCATGTACAGAGTGAACCAGTAGGTGAAAGATTGTTCGCTTTCTCTTTCTCTCCCACTTCTCTCTCCCCATGTGTGTGTCCTTTGTCACTCTGCCTTTCAAATAAACAGATTTTTTAAAAAAATAATTTGGTTATCTAGAAGGCAGCATCACACACACACACACACACACAGCTCTTCCTATCAACAGATCTTCATCACTAACTCACTCCCCAGATGCTGCAATGGCTAGAGCTGGGCCCAATTGAAACCAGGAGCCAGGGGCTCCTACATGAGTACAGGAGCCCAAGCACTTGGGCCATCTTCTGCTCTTTTTCTAGACAAATTAGCAGGGAGCTGGATCAGAAGTGGAGCAGCTGGGACTCAAACGACACCCATTTGGGATACTGGCATTGCAGCCAGTGGCTGTATGCACTACACACAGCACCAGTTCCAAAAATAAATGCTTAAAAACATAAAAAGATGTGCAATTATCAACCCATCTATTAGATCTTAGAGTGGTATCTTTTTTCTTTTTTCTTTTTCTTATATTCTTTTTCTTGATATGAAACATTACAGATGAAGAAGGTTCCTCTTTTTTTTGCCAACTTGATTGGGTGAAGGGATGCCCTGGCAGCTTGGTAAGGTGCCAGGAGGGCATTTCCCAGTGAGATCTGCACGTGCCCAGGGAGATTGGATGGAGCACTTTCGCCATGGCTCTCCACATGGGCAGGCATCATTGGTGCCTCAAGGCCATGGACAGAATGCATCTGTGCAAGAAAGACTAGTTCACTGTCTTCTGGATCGAGACATTGATCCTTTCCTGTGCTTTCCTGTCCTTTCCTACCTACCTAGTCAGGTAGGAAGTTCACAGTTACCTGGGCTGGGGCAGGGGAGGAGGCCCAAGATGAAGCACACCTGCAAAGCAGCCCAGTATTTCACACGGAGTCCTGCCCACATCCCATAGCTTTACAGGTGGTCCAGCCGCTCCCCGCCCCCCATGCTGCTCGGGAGACTCCTCTCTGCCCAGCATCAAACAGGTTACTCAGCCTGATCCCACTGGGCAAGGA